TTTAATTTCACATTTCATTAAATCAATAATTCAATGCCACCTAAATTGGGATTGCTATCTCAGTGGGCCTATATAGCATTCTTCAAATTAATGGTGAGGGAGAAGTACTTAAAAAATAGTTTGGGATGCAATGGTGTAATTTTTCATTTAAAAGTATAAAATAAGAGTTAGAGCCCGTTTGAGCCACATTATTTGTAAAATGAGAATGAAAAATAGAGTTATTATGGGCCCCACACAAAAGATAGAAATTCAAAAATGGTAGCTTGATGTGATAAATAACGATTATATTTTTCATTTTAATGAGGTAAAAATGGAGCTCAAACAGGGCCTTAATTGTTTCAATGTCATTAAATTTATGTTCATATCTTTGACTGGTCACTGAGTTTAAAATGTTGTGTTTTGATCATTGAACTTAGGTCTATATCTTCGATTGCTCATTGAAGTAAAGATGTCGAATTTTGATTATGCTAGTGAGTAACTTACAATATTTTTCAAAGTTCAGTAGTCAAAACTCGATATTTTAAATTTTAATGAGTAATCAAAGATATAGATCTAAGTTTAGTGATCAAAACTCGACATTTTAAATAAAAAGTATAAATCTAAGGGTGTGTTTGATTATATTTATTTTCCATGGAAAATATTAGTATTTCACCCAAATTCCTACTTAGAGTGTTTGATTGCTATTTTTTTTCGTGGAAAACACTTTCCAACTTTTGAAAATATGCCTAATTTTTCTTGTTTTTAAGAAAATATTTTCCTTGGGTAGAGGTTGTTTTTATTTTCCACAAAAGATGGAAAATATTTTCTTTTCTAAGTGATATTTTTCATATCAATCAAACACACTCTAAGTTCAGTGAGCACTTGAACAATTAATTCATAAAATTCTTTATATACGAAAGTGCAATACATTGATCCTTACCTTTACTGGTGATACACAAAGCACTAACCAATTCCATGGCTGCACTTTTCTATATCTTTACCATCTCCCTTCTATTTTCTTCCGTCTCCGGCAAACTGCAGGATGATTTTGCGGCAGAAATTGATGCTAAGGTGCTCGGATTTCGCAAGGAAAAACTCACCCATTTCCGAGTTTATTGGCACGATATTTTAAGTGGGCAAAAACCCACTTCAATCCAAATCGTTAAACCACCTTCCAGTGTTCTAGCATCCAGTGGTTTCGGCATAGTGAGTATGATTGATAATCCACTAACAGTAGGCCCGGAATTGAAGTCCAAATTGGTTGGAAGAGCACAAGGGTTTTATGCTTTGGCTTCGCAAGAAGAACTAGGGCTCTTGATGACAATGAATTTTGTATTTGACGAGGGGAAATATAATGGAAGTACGATTACAGTAATGGGGAGGAACGCAGTTCTCAATAAAGTGAGGGAGATGCCGGTGATCGGAGGAAGTGGGCTTTTCCGATTTGCTCGCGGCTATGTTGAGGCAAGAACACATACGTTTGATCTCAAGACTGGCGATGCTACTGTTGAGTATAATGTCTATGTGCTTCATTATTGATTCTTAAGCCTTTTTTTTCCCCCTTTTTTGTGCAATAAGCTAGAAAAAGTGACTTATAAGCTGGGTAGAACACCATGTAATTTCTTGCTAGCTTTTAATAATTATATGATGGCTATTTCTTTAGTATTGAATCAATTTAACTTGGTTGCACCATCCCATGGATACTGCTGTTTGGTATCTAGATAAATTTAAATTTTATGATTAACGCAAAATTGATTGTGTTTATCTTATATTAAAAAAGTTTTTCAATAAAATAATTAGTTCTAAATTTTTACACAAGATGTCACTAGTTGTTGACTGCTTTAAACAGCGTAGGTCAACATAGCACCAGTCGCGTTGTAACACCCTAGTGTCCAAACAAGCTAAAAACCTTAACTTTGCCCCCTCTTTTAAGGTAGAACGATCAACGTCCTCGTAAATTCGCTAAACGATTCTTCAATATTTAGAAGTAACCCTTACTTTTAGCTTGGAGAAATTTGATTGATAGAGCCACCAACACATGCACATGTTATACAGAGTTTCTTCACCATTAGTCCAAGAGATGAGCTAATGGGTACATGATGACAGCTTGTGGAATATGTCGCTTTGGATTATTGCTCACAATTGCTGTAGTCGGTCAAAAAAAATATTAATTTTTTTTTCCTTTACGTGGACCGTTTTGAGTGAAGGATCAGATCCTTTTGTACATATGACTTTATGCCTATGGACTCGACTACTTTCATGTCACGAATCCATTTCAATTATTATCGTGTCAAACTTCAGATAAGTAGGTAACATTACTAAACTATTTTCTAAATTATTACTCGTTACCCCCCC